CAGGAACTGTTAGTTGTCCTAGAAGGTTTCAGCCTTAGTGAAAGAGACAAAACAATTTTTACAGGGATGCCACCTCGGAAGATAACTGAAACATAAAACAGCCTGAGTTGGCTTGCTGCCTTGTCTTTGCTGTGTTTCTTTCCCTTCTTCGCCACTGCTTCTCTTCTAAGAAGCTTCCAATCACGTTCCTCCCTAGAAGATGGTGAGTGGGGTCGGGGGAGGAAACTAACACTGTTGAGCACCTATTATGCATCAGGCCCTGCATTTAATCCTTACAACCAACCTATGAGGCTAGTTATTACAGAAATTGAAGAACAGACTGGTTAGTGACTTAACAAGTAAGCTAGCAAGTGGTACTGGAAGGCATATGTGTCTAACTCAAGACCCGTGTTGTTCATAACCAGGCTAGGACTTCCCCTCTTATAAATCCTATTGTTGTAATGTCGGTTTTTCGTGTCTTTCTCCTTCACTAGGCTCTGGGCTCCTCCTGGGCGAGGACTATGTCTTCACTGTGTATATTAGGCACTCAGCAAACGTCAGTTTCTTTACCTGTCTCCCTTTCCCTCCCTTCCTCACCACTAGACACAAGGCTATATATGAGGTCTGGTGAAATTTTGCATTTTCTGTTACTACAAGTATATATTCATGTTTATGCCACTTGATTTAACTGAGGAAATAATATTGGCACTCATGATATGAATAACACAAAGTAGTAAGTACACTAAGTGCTTAGTTGGGTGTTAGAAAGGAGATTAATGAGGGCAGAAATAGACATGGTCTATACACCCCAAGGGGCGCAGGTGGTACAGTGGTTAAGCACTCACCTGCTAAATGAAAGGTCAGTGGTTGGAACCCACCAGTCATTCTGCACCTTCGAGTCAATTCCGACTCATAGCAACCCTATAGGACAGAGTAGAACTACCCCTGTAGGGTTTTCAGGGCCGTAATCTTCACAGAAGCAGACTGCCACATCATCTTTCTCCTGCGAAGTGGCTGGTCGGTTCAAACCATCAGCCTTTTGGTTAGCAGCTAAGTGCTTAACCACTGTGTCACCAGGGCTCCTCCATAAAGATTTCAGCCTTGGAAACTATGGGACAGTTCCACTCTGTCCTATAGGGCTGCTATGAGTCGGAATAGGCTCGGCAGCGATGAGTATATACAGTCCATAAAAGAGGTGGGATCTTGAGCCATGGAGGATGAATAGAATTTGGATATGAGTTTGTTCATTCAGACCATAAGCAGTTACTCACCCTACCCATGGCAGGCCTGGTGCTGGGTATGGGGATGAGGAAGCAGGGTAAATAAGTAAATGACTGACTAGGGAAAGGCATTTGGGAATGAACCTGGTGCTTCCTGGGAGAAATTAAGAAGCTGAGGTTCAGAACTGTCACATAAAGAACACTGTGTGCTATTGAGACGTCAAGGCAGTGGGAAGAACTGGCCTTTCTTCTTCCCCCAGAGAATATTTTTTAGGAGGGATGAATGAAGGATGGGTGCCAATTGCCCATCATCAGTTAGTATCTCTTAGATTCACCCTCAGAAATACTCCAGTCTTATCAGGAAGAAAATTGGTTTTTAAAAGTATTAAAAGGACACAGCTTTTCCTGGAGCTCTTCCAGCTTTGAGTTAATTAATTTCACTTCTGAAGCTGTGAAATCTTAACAGGTCACCGGTTCAGAGGGGTCCAGGAAGAGAACATTTATACTTAAAAGGATAACACTCACTTAAAAGATGTGTACAAGATCATCAGGCAGGGCTCAATCTGTGCTCTAATAAAGACTTACAGTGTAAACTTTACATCGTATAGGAAGTCAGGATCTTTGGTAGCTGCTTTCAGGATGCAGACTCAATGTTAAAGCTGGAAGGATCACAGAGAATATCCAGGTCTAGTTTAGATTCCTCACGGTGAAGAAACTGGAACACAGAGAGGTCAAACCCCTCACTCTGGATCTTATAGTTATTGGTGGTAGAACTCAAATTAGATCTTAGCTCCAAGAACAGTGCTCCAAATGCATCAAGGTTTAAAACAAGTAAAATGTCTACATATATAAAGAATATCTCTGAAAGGATATACAGAGCAGGGGTTGCCTCTGAGAAGGAATTGGGTGGGAAGAGAACAGGAGTGGGAGAGAGACTTAATATTCACTGAATACCATTTTATATGTTTTCAATTTTGTACCAAGTATATTTGTCACCAAATCAAAAATAAATAATTTATTTTTAAAAATTCAGTGGAGTCCTAAGTATCTATTGCTTTGTTGGGGAACCAAACAATGGGGGGGAGGGCAGGGACCATTGCCTCATGTTTGTGTAAAACGTGTTTTTTGAGTCAGACTATCCCAGAATATAAATGATTCCATAAGAGGAAGGTTAAACACCTTGGAAGTGGTGATGCCAGTTGGTTACAACTTTGTGGCTGAAACAAGAAGAGCCTCCTGGACCTCAATCCAGTACTATCCAGGAGTCCCAACTTCCTGCCAACTTTGACTGTAGCAGAAGCTGGCAGGCTAAAACCCACAGAAACAAAAATCAATTAGTCAGTGATTTCATTCACTTCAGAGCAGGATGTAGTTGTTAACAAACCTTGATGGAAAGGTCTCCTTTAGCCAAAATTCTGTCCTTTCCAAGACAACAGAAAATGCAGAAGCAGGAATCCAATGTAATTCACCAGTAAGTGACTTCAATGGGCAAAGCTTCATGCTAGGAGATGAACTCGGCTGCTCCGGGACCCCAAGGAACTGTTGCCCAGTAGAGGAGATGAAAATGCCTGTGTCTGGGGGGCAGTGTTGCAGTGAAAGAGCAAACCATCTGCTGGAATTTTTCCAAATACAGTATAAAGAGAGGACAGTCTGTAATGTGTTCCAAGGAGGTTTAATGCACAAAAATTGTATGAATGAGTGGGGACAACCAGGATCAACTTCCCAAGCTAATTTTTCTATTGGAGTTTCAATTTTAAACTCCAGTCAGCATGGCAAATTAGATATGGTTTGTGTTAGACTTAAAAAAGAAAATAATTATAATCCTGTTACTTCCTGTGTGGTAGATTCCTTCACTGGATATTGAGAACCTACTGTGTGTGCTAGGCATTGTGCCAGATATAGAGGTGAGATTTACTCTTTTACTTTCTACATATCTACATACACCTACCTATCAATACGGTATATGTATAAAAGTATTAATGACTGTTAGATGACTAAAGTCTATACTTATTCCTACTTGCTATTTAATCTACAGTTGATCTCCCAAATGATGCCCTTGAAACAATCTAATAATAGTTACCATTCATTACATGCACTGTAGTTAAGTGCTTTGCCTGAATTATTTCACTTAATTTTCATATCAACCCGAGGTACTTTTATTTTATAGAAGAGGAAATTGAGCCTCAGGTTAGATAACTTGTGCGGGCTCACACATGATGGAGAAGTTTTCAATCTAGGTTGCTACACATTCAACAAGTATTTAATGACTGCCTATGTGCCAGCCACTGTGCCAGGCATAGAGAATAGAGGATGAACAACATTGTCCAGTCCCTGTCCTCTTGAAGCTTATGGTCTTTCTGGTTCCAAAGTCCATGTTTTTGACATTGACATTATACTACTTCCCTTGATCTGTGCAAAGGGGAGCCACGTTTTCAAAGGAAATTACTCCTAAGAGAAAACTGGCATCCTGAAGAGTTGTAGTCAAGCACCTATGTTCCCCAATCCTACTTTTCTCTTCTGTGCTCGGAAGATAAATTCTTTGCTCTTAAGGAGTATAAGAAAACAAAACAAAACAAAACCCATTGCCGTCGAGTCAATTCCGATTCATAGTGAGCCTATAGGACAAGAGTAGAACCGCCGCATAGGGTTTCCAAGGAGCGCCTGGTGGATACAAACTGCCGACCTTTTGGTTAGCAGCCATAGCTCTTAACCTCTACACCAAGGAGCCTAAAAGCAGTCTGGAACCATGAGCTTTGGTAACAAACCTGGATTCCAGCCTCCCCCCGCCACCGCCGCGTTTACTAGCTATGTGACCTTGTGCAAGTAACTTAACCCCTCTGAGCCTTAATTTTCCAGCCTGAAAAATGAGAGTAATACTATTGCATGTGCTTGCAGAACTAAATGAGATGACGAGCCTACTACATAGTACACGTTCAATAAAGCGTCGCTGTTGTTATTAACGGAAACCCTGGTGGTCTAGTGGTTAAGAGTTTGGCTGCTAACCCAAAAGTCGGCAGTTGGAATCCACCAGGCGCTCCTTGGAAACCCTGTGAGGCAGTTCTCCTTTGTCCTATAGGGTCGCTATGAATCGGAACCAACTCGAAGGTAATGGGTTTTATGGGTTGTTATTATTAACAGGATCAGGAAGACACAAGAAAACCTCAGGAACGTGTTATTTAGCAAGGCTTGTTTGTCTAGGCGCTTCTACTAGCATTGTCTGTATAGTTGTGTAAAGCTGTTCTCTCAAAGGTGCACGCAGTCTGATGGACCCGTGTCTAGGGCATGCGTGCTCAATAAATATTAGTTGAGTCAACGAATGAATAGATGAATGAAGGCAGGATCACTCTCTCGGAATTAACAGGTTCAGATGGGGAGGACATTGGTAAAACACAAAATCGCCCTAAGTTAACGCCCTGTATACCGTTAAAGCCCCTTCAGCTTTCAGTGAACTTAAATTGTACAAGTGGCATAAGGACACTTCAGGCCTCACCACGTACTTTTGACATCAGATTAAACGCTGGATTGAAAAAAAGCTTCGTAAATGAACAACTGCAAACGTAAAACGGGCATCATAAACACCGACGCCCACGCTTCAGCGGCGGGCGCCGAGCTCCCGCTCCACCCCCTCCTCCTGGTTTTTCTCGTTGACCCATCCCTCCGGCGTCATGTGATAGGGGTGCTCAGCCAGGCTGAGTCCCTGATTGGCCGAGCTGCAGATCGCCTCGCGATTGGCCTGCGGCCGGCGGGCCCCCGCCTCCCTCCTCCTCCTCGCCGCTGCCCACGTGAGGGGGGCGAGTCACGCGATTTCCGGGAACCCGTCAGGAAGGACATAAACAAAACAAACCCGAGGCAGCATGGAGAGGGGCCGAGGCCCCTGCAGCGGAACCGCACCCAGCCCCTGAGCCGCCTCCACACCCACAGGTGAGCGCCCGCTGCTCGCCGCCCCGGGCTGGCGGAGCTTGGGCTGTGGGGCTAGCCGGGCAGGGGGCGGGAGAGGGCCGCTGGCCTAGGAGCAGTGCCCGGCCCCTGGGCCATCGGGGTCTGGGACCTGGGCCGACGCTGGGGGCGCGCGGGCCGCGGGCCACTGCCTGCCGGTCACGGGGGCATCTACTCCCCTCCCCCACCCCACCCGCGACCCGGGACGGTTACATAAAAGCTCGGGGCGGCCGGAGAGGGGACCTGTGGGCGGGCAGCGAGTTGGGCCAGGGGTGGGCAGTGCCGAGCATCCGCCCTGCCAGGTCTCCGGGCCTTTCACCGCTGCCTTTGAGCCCGGGGCCGCGGCTGCCGGCAACCGGCCTGTCAGAGAAGCGAGCGGGTGGGAGGGGCCGGCGAGGGGAGGGAAGGCGGGCTGGTGGGGGAGGAGGAGAGAGAGGGGCGTGTGAGGAAGGGCCAGGGCCGCGGAGGTTGAAGCCGGGCCGGCAGGAGGCGAAGAGGCGAGGGCTGGGACGGGATTGGCGGGGGTGGGGTCCAGACAGGCAGTCTTGAGGAGACCCGCTCCCTCTTCCCTTCCCCGCCCCAGAGACGGCAAGAGGGGCCTCCCTCCCGGGATTTGTTTATATGTCTTCTCAAAGTAGCTTGAAGCGGCTTGGAGGCGGAACCCTCATGGCTGAGTGGCAGGTTCTGCCGCCCAATGGGGCAGGCGGAAGCGGGCTGATACGCCAATGGGCGCGGAGGAGGCGGTGCCTCCGGGACTCCGGTGGTAGGCTGTGCAGGGGGTGGGCCGGGCGGGGCGGCCATGTTAGATGGGAGGGGACCAGTGGTGGTGGGTCACTGAGAGGGGAGGAGACAGGGCAAAGGGCGAGGGAGCCGGGCCGGGGGCGATTCGGGTGTCCGAAGGCGAGTCCGATCGGACCAGGAAGTAGCTCTGGGGAACCTGACCCCGACCCACCGCTCTCCTCACCCGAGCAGAGGAGGCAGGGAAGTACCGAGGGCAGTCAAGCTACCCCTGGGGGTGGTTCCTGGGACTAGATGGAGCTCAGTCTCTGGATTCTCCCTCTTTCTCGGCCCTACGCTTCCTTCTCTGACAAATCCGACCGCCAAACTCAGTAATTGCCTTCCTTTAACCCAAGAAAGCAAACCTTTCTGCTGTTTCTGAGCGGGCTTGAGCCTTAAGGAGGTACTCGGATAACTAGCGGTCTAAATTTCTGCCATCAGGCCTCAGATAGAGGCAGGCAGTGTGGGGGAAAGTCTGCTTTTCTGAATTTTGCAAAGAGAAAACCGGGACCAGGAAAGCCGAGAAAGTTGAGGCCTGGGTGGGGTTTCCATTTTTTCATCAGGATATCTTCTAAAGATCAGAGCCCCGCTCTTGTCTTAGTCGTAATTTGCTCCTCCTCATTGGTAGTTCACATAAATCAACTTCATGAGAAAACCGAGCCTTGAGAAAATTAATATTTAGACTTGAAGGTTCTTTTAGGACTGTGTCTTGCGAATACCCTGCAGGTGAGAAATAGGATCCAAGTCTGACTTAATTCTTTTTAAAAAACAGAAAAAAATGAAGACTTACTATGTAAATCTTGTGGACCGTGGCAAACTGGTTGTCACTTGATTGTATTTTAAATTTTTTTTCTACAGTTTTCTTCTAATACGAAATAGCTAGGAGAAACACCTAAGATGAAGAGGAAAATAAGTAATTAGAAAACCACTTATTTACTTTAAATGTAGCATGTGATTATTTTGGCAACATGTTGGCCCTGTTAAATGCTTACTTAAGACTTAGATGTTAACATCAGTTTACAACCTGTGACTACATTGGTATTGCCAAGGGTATCAGGCTGTTGATGCATCTTGCGTTCAGCACTTAGGGTAGGAACATACCTCAGATGTATTTCGCAGGGGCTGTTAAAAGTTGACTGTATTATTTAAGAATTGGCATTATCTCCTATTGTGTTCACTGGAGAAAAATGATAATTGGTGAATGTTTTATTGTTTTTTGTATTTGTTTGACCAATTGACCCACAGTGTGTTGAGTTATATGTGAAAATATAATCCCTGATTAAATCACTTAGTAGGCTGAAGTATAACTGTTATAGCTAAGAAAAATATTAGCTTATTTTTTACTAGTTCTTATTTTATCAGTATTGTGTTGTTTTCTAAACCCTGCCCCTTAACAGTGCTGTAATTAATTAAAAATTGGAAGCGTAGCTAAACTTAAAAACAGTTTCATTGATACTTTGGATAATTATTCAACAAAGTTTTCACGTTTGCATTGGTTGATAAAATTCTGTTGTTTATTTAATGTAATGTTCTGTTATTTTAAGAATGGCAAGTAGATCTAACAGAACTTACTTGGCTCTAGTTTTTTATATGACTTGTATAGCAGCTTTAAGGAGCCCTAGTGGCACAGTGGTTAAATGCTCGGCTGTTAACCGAAAGGTTGGTGGTTCAAACCCACCAGCTACTCCTTAGGAGAAAAATGTGGCAGTCTACTTCCATAGAGATTACAGTCTTGGAAACCCTGTGGAGCAGTTCTGCTCTGTCATATAGGGTCACTATGAGTCAGGATCAGCTCAACACAGTGGTTTTCTTGGGAGGCATAGAAGAGGTTAAATACATCTAGAAATGGAGATTTTGGATGCTCCACTTACCATCCCATTGTCTATCTGTCATGGCAGGTGAAAAACTTGTGCAAGGACGGTGTCCTACTTAGTGTACTGGTTGGTTGTGTGTGGTTCTAGGATGCCAGTATATGGGAAAGAAATAAGTATTCTAGAATTATGCGTTTTGTCATGGTTAACTAAATATAACTGACAATGAAGTATGATGTATTTGTATTAATGTAGCACAGTTTTTAAAAGGATTAAGAGCTAAATTCACCATTGCGTTTAGAGCTTACTTTTTAGTCAAGATTGGCAGTTACGTGATTTTTAATGAATTAGCAGAGGTTTATTTCCATGTGGATTTGTACTTGGATGTTTTGGGGAAGAATTCATTGCCTCTTCCACCGTATTCAGTAGCTCATTCCAGGGTAGCTAAACTCTTAGTACAGACATAAATTTAATTGCCAGATCATTCGTTCTGAATTATTTTAAGATAGAGGTCAGCAGACTTTTTCTTACAGGGTCAAATCAAATAATAAATACTTATGCTTTGTGGGTCATAGAAGAACCCCTGTGTGCTGCAAACAGTTTGCACTCACCTACTAACCTCAAGATTGGCAGTTCAGATGCACCCAGCAGCACCACGGAAGAAAGGTCTGTTGATCTACTTCCATAAAGATTACAGCCAAGAAAACCCTATGGAGTAGCTCTACTCTGTAATACATGGAGTTGTCATGAGTTGGAATTGACTTGACAGCAACGGATTTGGTTTTTGGTGGGTCATAAGGTCTCTGTCACAACTGTTCAGTTGTAGCATAAAGACAGTCATAGACAATATGCTTGAGACTGTATTCCAATAAAACTTTATTTACAAGAACAGGCTTAGGCTTGATTTGACTTAGGGCCATAATTTATTTGTCACTCCCTCTTCTAAAACATCAGAAGTCATTGGGTTTTAAGTACTTAGATGTTAAGATATTGCAGAAAATATAAATACGCATTTTATGCCAGGTAATATTTGAGCACCTGCAGAATTTATGTGTCTCCTGCCTTGAAGAATTTTTAGTACAAGAGCACATGGAACATTGTGTTCTATTTTTTACTTTATTTGCATATAGATGCTTTCCTGAAAAGCTGTTTAAAGCAAACATTGGTATACCAGTACCAGTTGCTGTTGAATGGACTCCGACTCATGGTGACCTCATGAGTGTGGATCAGAGTAGAACTGCTCTATGGAGTTTTCAATAACTGATTTTTTGGAAGTAGATCACCAGGCTTTTCTTCTGAGGAAGCTCTGGGTGGACTCAAACTTCCAGTCTTTCTGTTAGCCCTCAAGTGCATTAACCATTTGCACCACGCAGGGATTCCAATATTGGTATATTAAATCTTGTTTATTTAGAAGATGCATTCTCATGGAAAAAACATTGGCCCCAAGATATGATGCCTGAGAACCTTAATATATTAAGGGTTTGGTGCTGTTATGGTTTAAAAGTTTGTTTAGCATATCCTTCCTAACAAAACTGCGTAACAGCTGTTTTGAGAAGTTAGTCAAGTGACTAGTGAACACATTTAGCTCTTATATTCAGATATATCATACATTTAATTTAGTAGTCACATTGATTGTGCCATTGTGTGGGATGTTTGTAGAATTACCTAAGTAGGATAGGATGCTTTTTTTCAAACAGCGCTGAAAAAGATTGAGGCTACCCCGCCTCCCCTTCCTTAGAAAATGTCAAGTGGTGCTAAGTGTCCAGTGAAGCAGAGATGCCATACCTAAAAATATTAACCAGGCAAATACTTACTTTTTTGTGAATAGCTTTTTACTTTGTCTTTTTTGTAATATTTCACTAGTTCAGTGGACTTGAACTGGATTTCAAGTGGAAGCATTTGAGTTCAAAAATGTATTGACCTTTTTGAACTGAAAAGTATCATGTGGCCTGTAATCTTGTTTCTAGTTGTACCTAGCTTACTGTCTGGCTGGGTGACTGTGAGCAATCTCATTTTATTGATTTGTAGTGGTAGGGATTAATGATGTTTTCCATCTCACAGAAGGATATTGGGAATTTGTTAGTCATTGTGTTCTCAAGCTTTTGTACCTTTGAATATGCCAGTTCTTCAGGCTGCTTGGAACCATCTCTCAAATCTGGATTTTCTTTTTTCTTAGCGTCATTGTACTCTGTTTATCTTTATTAGCAGTTGCCCCACTATTAAACTGTGAGCGTCTTCAGGTCAGATTCTCCGTCATTTTTATATCCCCAGTGCCTAACAGCATGCCTGACACCTTTTAGTGTTTCGGAAGTCTTTCAATAAATGAGTGAATTGCTGAAGTGTGCTTATCTGGAAGGTAATAAAGTCTAATGTTAATAGAGATGTTGGACTTTTCTT